AAATAAATATAAAAATAAAAGAAGAATGAATAATATATTTCATATAATAAATATTAATTAAAACATTAAATAAACGAATAAATAAAATCATTTCTTCAATTGAAGAAATAGTAATGAAAGATAAAATAATCAGAACGCTAAAAGAAAATGATAAGATAATACAAAAAATTTAACAAGAAGAAAGAAGAAAGGAATACATATTATAGTGATTGTTCAGAGAAATAGAGAAAAAGAGAAATAATGAAATAAAACATCGAAGAATGAACAAATAAAAGTATTCAATACTATTTGATTCAGATATTTATGATTTTAACGTTAATACAAATTGTTTGATGAAAGAGTAATACACCTCTACTATTATTGAAGATGAAGATGGGAATAAATGTGGAGGAATATTTCTAAAAATGATAAAGTTTATAAATTTATAATGATTCGAAATCATTTTTATTTTCAATAGAAACAAAAGGAAGAATATAATGAGTGATAACCCATGATATTAAATACCACTATTTGCATTTATTTATTAGAACAAATCAAATGACCATTTGTTTGGATTTGGTTCGTTGGATGATAACATTGTTAATAAAGAAAGTAATAAAAGAATTCATGTTGTACTAAATTTCCATTTGAATAAAATGGAATTGAAAATACACTTTTGTAAAAACGAGTTTTGATACTAAAACGAATCATTATAAGTGAAATGAAATTTATTACTATAATTTAAATTAAAAGGTATAATAATAAATAGTGGTAATAATATAACCAAATAAGAAAAGAAATGATAAGAATATAACGATATTGTAATATTTATTTTCTTATTCATTAATTTTATCTTTGTATTATCACAGATTTTCATTGTATTGTATTATTTCATTTTTATTATTTTGTTTAGTTTATGAAAGTTATTTTGTAATATCAAATTCTTTTATAGATAGTATATTTATAGTATATATAAATTATTATAATTTGTTTTTATTTTAATGTTTGTTAAATTGTTATTGAATATTTTTATACAGACCATCAGAAAATGAGATATGTATCAATTTTATATTAGTTAATAACTTTATGATAGTTTTTCGTTATATATAAAAATTATCATTTAAAAGTAAAAAAAGGTAAATATTAAAACAAATTAATTTAAATGATAATATCAGTAATTTTATGAAAATAATCAAGAGTGAGTAATTTTATCTTTTTGTAATTATATTTCTTTCTGAAAAAAATATCAAATTTCTTTTAACAATATTTTATTTATGTTAGATTCCATTAAATGGTATTATTAAAATATTGTTCAGTCATCAAAACATCTATTATCTTACATATATTATTTTTATTTTTGTCAATGACTTGTTTCTCATTTTCATATATTCATTAATTAGTTATTACATTATCATTTACTTTTTGATTTTCTAATTTCATCTTAGTTCAATTTATTAATTGTTTATTTTTGTTTTAGAATATATTTCTTATTTTATGTTTTTAAATGATAATGATGATGTATATTAATCAGTAAATTATGTTATTTTTATTCATTGTTTATTATTATATACTATATTTGTAATATTTATTTCATACTTATCAATTGATAATATATTAAAATTATTACTGTTGAATTAAAAAATAAAGAAATTATTCTTTTTATGTCAAAACAGAATTTAAATAATAAATACAACATTTGTAACAATTTAAATCAGAAAGATATTGGAATTTAGACTATTAAAACTCTACTAACAAAATGGTTATTGATGGTAATTATTTATAGTTTGACTAATAACAAAACTTCACTGTTCAAATTATAAAATAAATAATGTATTAATATATCTTTAATAATTTGGTTCATTTAAAACAATATTATACAATTTTTAAATACATTAACAAAGTTGTTAATTGATTCATTAATAACAAATTTAATATTAATTTCCTCTTATTATGAAATTTGTAGAAATAAATGAATATGATAAATAATTATTGAATGAACATTATGAAATATATACATTTTTTAATGATATTTAAACCAATTATTTTTTATTAAACAAACAATAAAATAATTAATTAAATATCAAATTAAAATTATAAAATATAATAATTGTTTGTAATCTCATTTTTAAATTTCTGTATTTACATTTACAATATTAATAATAACTAGATTCTACTTCTTGTACTATATATTTCTGTAATTTTATTTTCTTCTTTATAGATTATCACAAAACTTTTTCAATTTCCAAGTTTACTCCCTGAAGTTATTGTCTTGTGTTAATTATATATAAAAATTGAGTAATGAATAACAAAAATACAATTAAATTTATTAAATCTTTAAAAATTAATATTACATATGTTACTAATGTTATCAATAAAATCATTTTAAAGAATAAATTAAGTAATAGATTAAATGTTACAGAAAGGAAAAAAAAAGAAGTCAAAACAGTCAACTAAATATGGTCATCATCAATTGAATAATAAAGATAATTAACAAAACAAATATAAAATATTTAAATAAATAACATAAAATAATGTAAAAACCTAAGACCATAACAAAAATAAATTTAATTAACAAAGTGGTTAACTGAATGATATATATATATAAGAGATTAAATAAATAATAATAGCGTAATTAATCCTTACTGAACCATAAAAAATAAAAGAAATTTCCATTATTGTTTAATTAATATCTTTTTAATCCTTTTTACTCCTTTTTTGTGATTCAAATTTTGTTTTATATTAAGTTAGAAAAAGAAAAATTAAAGAAAAAATATTACGTGTTATTTTGTTTCCTTCTATTGTTCCTTAGCTCTTTTACTACATAAAAACTATAAAATATAACAATTAATTGAAAATTACTATTCAAATAAACAAAAAATGAACTGAAAAAACCACATGTCTTGGAAGTGTGCTCTTTGTGGTTTGCATTTTCTTCTATTTTAGTTTAAAAACTGTTTAACTCTATAGGAAAGTCAGTATACTTTGCTGAAAGAAAACAGGCTGAAGGAAAAGATTGGCATAATATTTGTTTTAATCAATATTACAAAAAGAAAAGACAACAAGACGCTGAAAAGATTAATGCTGAATATACAAAAGTTGCAGATGTATGCCCAGAATGTGGTGAATTAAGAAAAGATTCAGAAGTTCGTTTTTGTGCTGGATGTGGTTATAAATTCCAATAAAATCGATATAACCTGTTAACAACAAAAGTGGTACTATAGTTCAATTCTTCTTATCTATTTATTTGGGTTTTATTTTATTTTGTTAAATAAAATCTTAAAGATAATATTTAAAAATTATATCTTAAAAAAAGGGCTTTATTTAAAAAAATATTTTAAGAAGATTTTTTTTCTTAATCTTCGTTACAACTTTTGTTATTTTATGTACTTATACAAAATATAAGTATTAGTATTAAGAAACCAAGTAATAAATTCACACTATATTAATATCTTCTTACTGAAATACTATTGGTGCTGGTGGGCTTATTGGAATTTCAAGAACTGAATGATACTCAAATCCAACAAATTGTGCAATTTGTTCACAGACTCTTCTTACTTTATTTGGAAAATCAGTAGAATTATCAATAATAACTTGATGTGGATGAATTGACCATTTTTCTTCAATTGTATAATCAAGAGCAGCAGCCTCTTCTGGACGTTCTCTTCTGGCTGGATTAGATTTTTTATCATAATACTTTAATGCACCAATAGCAGTTGTTCTTAAATGAAGAACAAGGTCATACCTGTTTTTACAAAATGAGTCATAATCAAATCCTCCTTCATTCATAACTTTATCCCAATTATCTTCTGACATATAAGCAGCAGAATCCATACTTCCACGGTCAGAAAGAATTAATGTAATCTTTTTATTAGTTGATTGTGCGTATTTATAAAATTGATCTTCCATAGCTAATTGGCACCTAATTTTGCATAACTCCCAACACAATTTTTGTTTCTCAGATGCATGAGCAGGAAATCCTGCTCCTGAATTAAAGAACATAGTTGAATTCTCTTGGATATGAAAGACTTGAATTCCAAGTGGTCTAAATTGATCAGCAATTAATGACAGTGATGTAGTTTTTCCACCTCCTGGACCTCCAGTAAGTACAATTCGTATTATTTTAGGCTCTTCTCCTGGACCACACTCTAGTGGATTATCAACAAAATTGAAAGACATCAAACAATAGTTTTCAGGGTTTGTTTAAATATCCATTTTTGAATTATTTGTAATTTCCTTTTTATGGAAAAATAAATTGCATTTTATTCTTTCAAGTATTTTAGTTTTTTATGAACTAACAATATATGGTATAAAAATATTGAATTATGTTAAGAAGAAAA